TTGGTGAAAAGGAAAGTATAGATATCGATCCAGTGCCCTGAATGTTTCAAGCATTTCGCTCAAAACGCTCGAAACACTAGATTGACACCTATAGATGCCTTTTCGCTTAGAACGCTTCAAAGATTTGGAACGCTCAAAACGCCGACAAAAAGTATGAACGCAGCCTTACTAAACAACTGAGTAGCTCTGGCAGCATGGCTTTCAGTAAGCTTCATGTTCTTATTTCTTGGAACATGCGGAATCAGGGCCCAAATGAACAGTAAAAATAATTATTCAGCCTGACTTTATAACAAAATCGATCTCTAAACTACCTCATAGCGTATCGCCCGTTTTCATGTTACCTATCCTGCCAAATGGATGAAGCTGTAACTGGCCATCAAGCAGGGGTAGGGAACATGAACATGTGTCGATAAGCGTCAAGGACGTTGGGGAAGGCGATTCCTCCTGGGCGGGGGCGGGGGTGAATAGAGAATACCGCCGCCCAAAAAACAGCTATGCCGGCAAAAAACAGTGCCATGCTGCGGGGGGGGGTAATAGAGAATACCGCGCCAAAAAAGCTTGCGCGCACCCAAAAAACAGTGCCCAGTGCTTATTTGAGCACTGTGCCCACTTTCCAATAACCCACCAGTGAAGAACGCTTCTGAGAAACTCTTTTGGCAATAATAATTTCTTTCTTTTCAACATCTCGTTGCTAGGCACCCTCCCTCAAGCGATCTGGTCCTGCCCTTCCCCGTATGGCCCGCCTACCCCTACACGAACTATGCCTTGAAGATTAAAAAACGTTTTCGAGGCGTCGAAACAATATTTTGCCATCCCACTCCCAAATGACTCTTGTTTAGTGTATATCATTTTGAACTCGAAAGAATATTTTGCATCCACTCCCAACTGACTCTTGTTAGTATATATTTATATCATCACATGGCTTCGGAAAAGCACAAGCAGCACAGCACAGGGTAAAATAACAAGTAATAATCATGTGAAAATTGTAACTGAAAAAAAACAAGAGCCTGCCATACATTCAAGGCATCATTAAACAGCGTTCAACCAAAGCAAGTCCGAAAAATCTGACATACACCTCTCGCATCAGCTGATGCTAGTCAGTTTTCATCCCGATACTGGAAACTTTGTCTCCGTGGTTTTTTCTGCCTGATAGAAGCATCATCGTGTGAGCAGCCTTCAGCTTTCTGTCACGAAGATTGAGTGTGCGAGGTTCGCGAGATCGAATGTTGAGGTCACCGGCGCCTAAAATGGATTAAATGAACCTAGTAACGAGTTCAATGAGGCGAGTTGTTAAAGACGCTTCATTTTTTCATTATTTAGAACGGTAACGTTAGTTAGTTGGATGGAGAAGAGACCACTCCGTAGCGCTTCTCTACACCACATTCTAATCAATGCTAACCGCCTAAAGGCAGACCATGTGATGTTGTGCTGTTCATACTTTTGCGTTAGCGCTGCGCCAGCGATTAGCGAAGTATAGCATATTCATGTACCGTTACGCTAGCATAAGCAGCAGGGCCGCCGGGTGTCGGTCGGATGGCGTGGCTGGCAGCTGTCCTACCGTAACTGGGACGCTGCTGGACGCTAATTGACACCTCCCTGAGCCTGTTCAGCCGCTCCCTCGGACCGGAGAACTCGTCCACAAGCCACGCACCATACTGATTCGTATAATTGATCGACCTACAATGGTGAGACGTCTCCGTAAACGCCGAATTGCGTACTGATCGCTCAACTACGCATTCTCTTCCGTTTTTGAGCGGAGTTTCGACTTTTTTTCGCCTACCAGCCATTACATAACTACAGCTATAAACGGCTATCGATTATTCAATGCATTTCTGTACAACTGCGGAGCTACTAAACCAGTGGTTTTTTTTACAGTTGCTTAAAAGTTGATTTCTATACTGTTTGCTTACTGGAAGAGCATAGTTTCATGACCATTTTGGGATCATGACACATTCTTCTTCTCAGTTCGCTCACAGTTATTTTTCCTTGTTCACGATCATTGAAGAGTTCCTAACAACTGTTTTTTTACACGTTTGCACAAAAAAGTTACCAGAACAGCTTCAACGATGCATTATTCCTCAATATTCTTGCTTTCCTGATACAATTCCTTTGAGGACTCAATTCCTTACTCCATTTCAGTTAGTATGACAGTGACCCTGCTGACGAGCAACATTTCTCACTAATTACTGCCATAGGGGAGCGTGCGACGTCGCTGTCTCATTTGATATGCCCAAAGGAGACACAAAGTCTCCCGTAACTCATCCCGAAAAAGAAGTTGAGGTCGTAATTGGGTCACTGGAAGATTATTGTAGATATATGTCGAGATATGTGTCAGGAAAAACTATTTAAGCCAAATGTAATAAAATTTTTTGAATAGTCTGCTGTTAATGTGTACAAAGGGGTAAAAAAACACTTGTTAGGAACTCTTCGATGATCGTTAACAAGGAAAAATAACTGTGAGCGAACTTAGAAGAAGAATGTGTCATGATCCCAAAATGGTCATGAAACTATGCTCTTCCAGTAAGCAAACAGTATAGAAATCAAGTTTTAAGCAACTGCAAAAAAAACTCACCAAATGGTTTAGCCCAAGCTCGCCAACTTTTTACATAAAGGCCAATGAATAATCAAATGCGCCATATATACAATATTAGTAGGGTGGTTTCCAAATAGTTGGTAAGGCCAAAGAAGTCGAAAACCCGCTTAAAAACGGAAGAGAATGGGTGGTTGGGCGACCAGTACGCAATTCGCGTCTACGGAGTGCGCGCGGTAGCGTGAGTGTGGTCGTCGAACAATGATGAGGCGCAGTCAATTACGTAGCTGTGGACGAAGGTGTCGCCGTCAAGGGTGGAGGCGGGTGCCCACGCTCAGAAGGTTGTTCAATTAGCGTCCATCACGCTCCCATGACGGGTAGGACAGCTGCAGCCACGGCCATACGAACCGCCTCCGCGCAGCAGGCGCTACACCTAGCGCTCCGCTCTCTACCCTGACAAATAGAACTTTGCATGAGGGTGCTGCGCCGCGAAAGGTCAGAGCCCAGAAAATGTAGGCGCTGCGCTGCCAAGGCTTCCAGGCATGCCGAAACGCCATAAGGGGGCCTAGAGGGCTTCTCACGAGACGTGACTGTGGCGTGATGAGCCTTCAAAAAAATTGACGGAGTTGAGGTCACATGATACACAATGTCATGCAAACGAGAGGGCGCAGAGAAACACAGAAAGTTGACTTGATCAAAGGAATTGAGTTCAAGTCGTTAGACGACCGAGGTCATAACCCTCCTCTCCCAAGTTACGGTTACCGCTCGGGTACTGCTGTGCAAAAAACAGGAAAGCCGTACAAATCAATACCGTAATAGACTTTTTTGGCCCGCCAAGGAATTCGTCACACACCCCTAGGGTTCCTTCCTCTAGGCTTCCACACGTCTTTGTCTCATCAGTCTTGACTCTATGAAGAGAATTGGCGCCAAAATGATTAGCCACAGTAAATGGCAAATGTGTTTAGAGATCAGTAAAGGCAGAGCCTAGGTCTTCGTAGTGAACTTATCCTTTCGGCCAGCCGTATATGTAGCTAATATGGCAATCTGCCGTCATCCTATGTTATGCTGCTTAGCGCGGATAATCTATTGTGGTATCTGTTTTCCACAGATGCTGGAAAGGCCATTTCCGGCATATCGTCAGTCAGGATCTGCTTTCTGACAGAAGCAGCTACTGGAATGTAGCTTTGCAACATAAGCAGAGGCGTAAAGAAGTCGAGCAGGAGCTCTCTGCGTCTCTCATTGAGACACCGCTTTGGAGCTACAATTTAGGATGAGGGCACATTTATTCGCTAGTCTTTCACAATGCAAGTTGTCATACTTGGTTGTTGGGAGAGAAGGTCATTTCTGGTCTCGGAAGGGTTTTCGGATTGCCGACTTATCAAGCTTCCACGCTAGGCTAAGCATCGTGCCGAGGCATTCCATCAAGAGGTAGTACTGACATTCGAGAGACGGAGGGGAGCGGGGGAAGGGTCGTGGTGGGTTTCGGATCGCATCGGTGGAAATGAAACTTTCCAAACCGCTCGACAATAGTTTGTGGGCAAAGCCGCAATTTTTACCAAACTTAGAAAGTAGAAGCAAAGTCGGGACATTAATTTAAACTAAAACTTAGCAAGATGGTACGTAAGTTGGAGAAGGGCGGGGCGGAGGAGGTGGTCTGACATAGCCATTTTCCCCATCTCCTATCCTGATGAACCCTGTTACGCGCGCTGTATCCCCTCGCGACGGCAAAATTTTGGCAAGATGTTAGAATGTAGCGTAGCCCTGTGAGCAGGAGTTCTTACTAACGAAGAAACTTTGAAGGGGAAAGCGCGTTCACCAGACACTTCCATAATGCCGCTAAGTATCCTGTCTTGCAGATAACAAAAAAAAAAAAAAAAAAAATGGGTAGCTCACTTCGCGACTCGAGAGATTCGACGTTTCTGGCAGAACTGGCGTTTTGAGCGAATGAGCGAAAAGGAAAGTACATGCAGGCATCGATCTCACTGTTTAGAGAGAATCGGCGTTTTACGCCAATAGGATAGTGTAGGTATCGATATCGATATGCGCCCAAAACGCCGACAAGCTCGAAGCGCAAGCTTGCCACCTACACTTTCTCTTTCGCGCATTAGTTCGAAGCGCCGATTCTCCTGAAACGCCAATTCTCTCAAGCATATTGTGCTTACAGACTAAGCCGTTATGATACAGACACTCCGTGGCGAAGCTTTTGTGCTGGTTTTTACCGTACAAGAGTTGCGGTCCGAGGGCGGAATGCTGATCGAGTTGGGAAGAAACACGAGTTATAAAAACGCCGCGCTGGGCTCATTCCCTTTTCGGTACACGCTTCCACTGCAAGGTATCATCTGAGGAAATTTATCCACAGGGAATAATAAAGGAAAATTAATACTGTTCAAGTAAACATTCAACGCTGGGAGATCCTAGCTAGTTCCCCCTAGGGCCCAAAAGCTACACCTACTGAGCCTGTGCTCGACATTCAATGGTTAGCACTTACCGGAGCAGGAGGATTTGACGACGACGCCACAGCGTATTTCGGCGTCGAAGGCGCAGGCCTGCATTCGATTAAAATCTGCTCCGCGTCATCCTCAGCTTCTCCAGCATCATCCGCGTGGCCCTCGGAGTCCTGCGCTTCGCTTATCTGAAACAGGACCGTGTATTCGAACAGATGAAGTACCGTATCAATCGCCGAACATCTGCCCTTATACAGTCGGCCCTCAGTCAAATCGACTTACGCAATGACATAGGCTGTAAAAATTTACCTGCGTCCTCTTCTTCACCTGCTAGGCTAAGCTCGTTTCATGCAATTTCGATGGAAAGTGACTCATAAAACGTGAATGGAAAGAGAATCCGCAAGCAGTTGGGACAAGTGACGCGACTTATTATTTCTTCCCGCCCCGCCCCTTCCTCATTTCCCAGCCCATAGCCCATCCCACACCTACCGCACTGTATTCTGCGTTGTTTCCGATCCAGAAGAAGCCCTATTTGGAGGCAAGGCGTGCCATTGCCATGGGCCGGGCAAAAGGCGGGGGGGGATGTTCCAATCCACAAGCCCCCTCGCAACTGACGCTGCACCCTACCAGGCGGAATTGCGAGGCGGGCGTGCGCAGGGTATTCCATTTGAACGTGGTTTCGCCTGCTTGGAACATCGGGACATTGTCGTTTTGGGACAACTGTAATCATGCTTGTCCAGCCCAAGGCGGGATGACAGTCTTTTCCAATTAAAATATCTCATATCTCACGAACAACGCATCCTACGCCATGGTCACTCAGGGAACGCAGCCACGCCCTCCACAACTCTGGGATATGGAATCTAGCCTCCGACTATGGATGACAGGCACTTATGACTTACATCCAGCTCCTCCGAGTGCTCGCTATCCTCAGGCTCCATCGTCGGATCCATCGGTACATCATGACCGAATTCTTCCACTTCAGGCACGACGTCTGTCATCAAACAGCGTTTTCACCTGTAAAAAACTCTTTTTGATCTACCCTTCCAATCTACCGTTTGCGGCTAACGCCACATCTATCACAACCTTACCACCTCAACGCTTGCAAATGCAAAAAATAGCCCTGGGACGCTTTTCGGTTGCCTTGGACCATTGCCACGTCGCCAGGTAACATGATTCTGCAAGAATATCACGATCGATCGGAGCAATTTTGGCCCAGATAGCAGCGATGACCCAGTTTCCCTAGAAATGTCCTCAGTCTGACGCTACTGTCGATGTATACACGATGCTGTGTAGACCTACTAAAAGAACCCATTAAAGTATACTGTAGACGTGGCGATACGGTAAGAGTTCACGACCTACAGCTATACGGTAAAGCGGAAAAAATATCGATATGACGACGCGTTATGCGAAGTGTAGCGAGCGTGTGCCGCAAGCCAATCGCGCGGTGTCATACAGTTTTTTAGGCGTTCAGTTGTGACCCCAAGCGGGTTCTGTGTCAACATCGATCGTGGTGAACGGATGGGTCAGTGGGGTTTGCTAATGTGAAGGCTGAATCAGAATTGGCCTATGAAGACGTTGATGGAGTTGAAGACGTCATGGAATGGCGATGAAAGGCGAAGATAACGGCCGAGGCTGACAGCGGCGTCAACGGGAACGCACGTACACATACACAGACGCATACACACACTCGCACCAGACGCACACAAGCACACACTCGCTCGGCCACCAACAGCCAGCCAGCCACACGCGATGCGATCGATCGCCGCCCAGTTGCGGCTGAACACAGCGCCACGGTTTTAGAAGACGTTCACGTACTTTCCTGGAGTGGATTACAACAGATACTCGGGTGGGCGAAGCGGTTGCCAGGGAGTTGACGCGCTATTGGTGATTGCTAGCGAGTGGAATTGGCTGTAAAAGGCAGCCGCGATTATCCCTTCAACAGGCCCGTCACCACAAAAGCCGCCTGGATGTCCTATGAACTGGTTCTCGAACACGCACACCACACACTACCATGGCGCAAAACATAACCATAGGCTAAGATGTCAATGCATTGTGACAAGAGAGTCACTTGAAGCGATCTTACCGCATCAGCCATTGGCCGGTGACCATTCCAAAGCAAGGGATGATGGCGCTAATCCCGCTGTTGACCCAGGAGTCGTTGAGGTTCCATCGGCTGTCGTTCCTAGCTTTTGATAACGTCTAAGTGACTCTCCAATCAGTTGAAGAATCGATGTATTCCGCGAATACGAGAATCAGAAGCGATGCAGTTCGCCTTGGGGATACATATCGCCTTATCATTCATTATTGCTTTCCGTCGTTGCCTTCATGCCGCCTTGGAATAACACTACAAACCCCATGAATGGCAAACCAAGGCAACCCCGGTGCACCTGTGGCAAACTAGCGTCACCTGAATCTCTAGAGCTTCGGCCTTTTGCCAGTGGGAATTCCAAGGCTAGGGATTAGGACCCTAATTCGGCTTTTGACTCAAGACTTAAGGTTCCCTAGGCTGTGGTTTCGTAACGAGTTGCTAACGTCTAAGGAGGTCTGCAATCACCAGAAGAATTGTGGTGTTATTCCGGCAATAGCGACGAATCATAAGACAGCTCAGAACAGATTGGGGGAGGGGGGGGGAACTTAGGGACACTCAGCGCCGTCGTCCGTTCGTACTTTCCCATCGTATTAATGCTTTTCCAAGAGTTGCATAAGGTGCCTCACAAACACTGACTGGGTAGCAACTTCATGTCCTCTATCAGACTGTCATCAGGGCCACCTCCTTTCGCTAAGCGGAAACTTTGCGAAATACGACCCCTTGAAAGTCTTCCTCGGGGGCGACCCCCTCCTTCCAGCGACCAAATACTGCCCCTCTTCGCTAGGGATTGCCTAGTACGATAATCCCTGTTCACAAATCCTTAGCTGATGGCGGACACGAATAGGAAGTAGCGAGAGCTGCAAAAAGGCCCCCTGCCCTCCCTCCCGAATCTGAAGCTAAGCCTTAACTGTGAGATAATCCGAACTAAGGCTGGATCACAAGGCAGCTCACTCCGGTATTTCTTTAGTTGCTCTACTTATGGAGCAATCATTGCCCAGGCGTTACAAAATGATGGCGATGGACATCTGCGACTTCTCAGAATAACAAAGCAGGAACTGAGAAAGACGTCTGGCACGCTGGGATGCTCATATTCACATGACATGTGCGGCTACTTCCAATTGTTGCAAGCATTTTAGGACACAAGGTACGATAGAAAAGACAACACTAGGCAACCTCTCGAGGTAAAAAGTACCAGAAGGGGCTACAGAGTGCTGATAGTGTTCGCCCTTATCAACCAAAGAAGCAAGCATCAAATTTCGGAATCGAGATCCCCGCGGGCGCTAACTATGCGCACCATCACAAATTTGCTAGTTAGTTGATACAAGAGTGGCTTGGGAAAATTGTATGTCAGCTGGTTTCCGTTACTGCATTCAGAATGCCTTCGCGATTCTACATGGAATTGGAGAGCGTGGCGCAACCCAAAAGGGGATTATCAACGCCAGAAGCTCTTATCCTTGTAAAGTGCCACAAAAGTGCAACGCGTGCATCATTTCTTTCGAGCTGCACAAAGCGCAAACGACTGTAAGAAAAGGATACGTGGGCGGAGTTAGTCAAAGATTCTCAGGCTGCGCCATGTATTCGATTCCCCCTTCGAATCTGCGGGAAGTATCTGAGTGAACCTAGCACCTTGTCGTTATGAGGGTTCCCGTGTTGAAAGTTAAACAGAGACACGAGGAAAATAAACCTGGGCCCACGTGAAATCCCGATAGTGCCGGCGCTCCTCCAAATACAACTATTTCGTTGTTGGAGAGACTTTTAGGTATTGCATCTGAGCAACGAATAAAGGGATCAGCCAACGTCAGAGTAAGCATTTTCACTTCGCAAGCGAAACCTGGACGCAGCTCGGCTTGGTGGAGCATTTCAGATTGTTACCAAAATCGATCATGCCCGATGCTCTCCTGGAAAGACCTGTTAGCAATATGAACTGCGTGGAGCTCGCTAATGAGACATGGCCACTTGACAAGAGTCTACAGCGTCTCACCAAGACAGGACGTGCCTAGTCATCAGCATCTAACGAAAGGAACTACGAAAGACAGGGCCACATCAATTAGTTGGGGGCACTTAGTCGAGTCCGCACGACCCCTACCTTTTTTTGAGGGGGGGGGGATGGTTGGTACGACCCCTCCCCCTCCTGCCCTCTGTCCCTCCTCATGGAATCGAGCCATCGAGCGGGGCTAAATAGCACAACATCGTGAAAACAGAAAAGCGCGCAAACAATACGACCCCCCTCTCCTACAATTCTTTAGATTTTCAGAGTTTCTCCAACTTTCTGCCACTTTTTTCCAAAAGTTCCCGAAAACTTCCCTACTTTTTCCCAAAAATTTTGCTGACGAGCGAGGGGGCGGGGGGGGGTGCCTGGGTATACACTACACATGAAAAAACGGAAAAATCACGAAAAGTCAATTACCACTCCCAACCACTCTTAGAAGGCCAAAAAGTAAATACGACACCTCCCCCTCCTTACAATGAGCAAGCACGACCGCCCCTCCCCTGTTACAACGTCCTTGAAGCGAGAAACCAAACTATCAAAATAAATTTCCCTCAGCCCAAATACAGCCCCCCCCTCTCCTAGCGGCCAAATACGACCCTCCCTCCACCCTGCTGGGGATTCCCAACAACGATGTGCCCTGCGCAAAAGTGCAAAAAAGCAAAATGTCTTCCCTTCCCCCCCCCGCCCCCCCCATCCGAGCAGTGCACGAAAGCGGGCACAGCCCTCAATTGAAACGTGCGAATTTCAAAACGTGCGTTCTTGAAATATAAAGGATAAAGGATAAAGTCTTCGCCGTTGATCAATCCCTTTGTGGGATGCGGCACGCATTCTACTTCCATTCAGAATCGTAGTGGCTTATTGAATGCGATGTGGCCTATACAATGACTTGCGGTGGCCAGCCGATGTACAAGTCAGTGTTTTATCCTCCCAGACGAATCTGGTACCAATTCACCGTCCCCGGAGGGTAGAAGGCTTGGTTGGCCTGGGCGGGAGTCGACCCGGGATTCGAACCCGGGACCGCGCGAATGGTGAGCGCCCCACTTGTCACTACACCATCTCCGCCTCATTCTTTTGAAAATAGTGGACAAATACTCCACCGCTTCTCTACACTGTCATCTGAAGTCCACCGTTTCAGTGAGAGATTTTGTCGAAATTCTCCAAACGCATTTCGCCTGTAGCTTGAGCGCACATCAGATTCAAGTAATCTCAGAGCTACTTTTTTATGAGCGCTACACTCTTGAAGCAAAGAGCACAAAACTAGTACTAGCACAGTACCCAATGTGTATTCCACCAGAGCAGGTCGTACGTTGGGATCCTCAGCGGGAAGTCGTATGCGATCGCTGGAACGGAGTCGGATTTGGCCTGAGAAAATTTCGCTTCATAGTTGATTTTTCTTGTCCACTTACTTGGAGACTGCCCTGAGGAAGATAGCATGGTCGTACTTGCTTGATGCTCTGGGAGAGGGCTCGTGTTAGGCCTTCAGAAATTTTTTTTTTAGTTCTTGTCTTCGCGCGCCTTTTCCGGTTTCACATGTGTTGCACGACATATTGGAAATGTGGAAAACGAATGAAGGTTGGGAAAGTCAGGAAGATGGTAGGTGGGTGGGAGGGAGAAGAGGCGGGTAGGGGTGATAGCAGAGCTTTTTCCCAATGACCAGACATGCCCTGATACCACCATTAAAATGGAACAATAGGCGCGGAGGCTCATGGGAACCATAACCACATTGTTGCCCTTGACAACAATTCAATTAAGAGGTACGGCTGCTGTCACGAAAACATGGCTGTGTGTAGTACATCGCAGTACTAACAAACGAGGACAGAAGCTATGCTTTCCCGATGCAGACATAGCCATGTCTCGTGGATAACGGGTACACTAATATTTTTCTTTTCGATTGAAGGTAATATGAAATTGTAGAACTA